AGCTTGGCTTGTTTAGCCTAACCAAAAGAAGGCTGAGGAGGAGATATATATATAAATACATAAATATTTATGTATAAATAAATACATCAGAGGGATAAATACCAGGGAGGGGGAGGAGCCAATGTGGATCCCAGAACAAATGGATATGAACTGGCTATCAATAAGTTTAGGCTTGAAATTAGATGAAGGTTTCTAACCATCAGAGGAGTGAAGTTCTGGAACAACCTTCCAAGAGAAGCAGTGGGGGCAAAAAAACCTAACTGACTTCAAGACTGAACTTGGTGATTTTATGGAGAGGATGGTATGATAAGGCTGCCTACAATGGCATGTAACTGATGGGTGACAGCTAGCAGCAAATATCCCCAATGGGCAGTGATGGGACATTAGATGGGGAGGGCTCTGAGTTACTACAGAGAATTCTTTCTCAGTTATTTGGCTGGTGGGTCTTGCCCACATGTTCAGAGTCTAAATGATCACCATATTTGGGGTTGGGAAGGAATTTTCATCCAGGTCAGATTGGCAGAGATCCTGGAGGGGGTTTCGCCTTCCTCTGCATCATGGGGCACAGATCACTTGCAGGTTTAAACTAGTATAAATGGTTGATTCTTTGTAACTTGAAGTCTTTAAGCCATGATTTGAGGAATTCAGTAACTCAGCCACAAGTTAGGGGTCTATTATAGGAGTAGGCGGGTGAGATTCTGTGGCCTGCAATATGCAGGCGGTCAGATGAGATGATCACGATGGTCCCTTCTGACCTTAAAGTCTATGAGTCTATGAATAAATGGTCAGTTTTCAGAATGAAGAGAGGTAAATAGTGGTGTCCCCCAGGGGTCTGGGCCCAGTCCTATTCAACGTATTCATAAATGATCTGGAAAAAGGGGTAAACAGTGAGGTGGCAAAGTTTGCAGATGACACAGAATTACTCGATAGTTAAGTTCAAAGCAGACTGCAAAGAGTTACAAAAGGATCTCACAAAACTGGGTAACTGGGCAACAAAATGGCAGATGAAATTCAATGTTGATAAATGCAAAGTTAATGCACATTGGAAAACATAATCCCCAATATACATACAAAATGATGGGGTCTAAATTAGCTGTTACCACTCAGGAAAGAGATCTTGGCGTCATTGTGGATAGTTCTCTGAAAACGTCCACTCAGGGCCGGCTCCAGGCACCAGCTTGGCAAGCAGGTGCTTGGGGCGGCCACTCCAGAGAGGGGCAGCAGGTCCAGCTATTCGGCGGCAATTCGGCGGATGGTCCCTCACTCCCGCTCGGAGCGAAGGACCTTCCGCCGAATTGCCGCCGCAGATCATGATCGCGGCTTTTTGTTTGTTTGTTTTTTGGCTGCCTGGGGCGGCCAAAACCCTGGAGCCGGCCCTGCATCCACTCAATGTGAGGCTACAGTCAAAAAAACTAACAATGTTAGAAACCATAAAGAAAAGGATAGATAAGACAGTAAATATCATAATGCCACTATTGGAATCCATGGTACACCACACCTCGAATACTACATGCAGTTCTGGTTGCCCCAGCTCCCAACAGATATATTAGAAATGGAAAAGGCACAGAGAAGGGCAACAAAGTGATTAGGGGTATGGAACAGCTTCTGTATGAGAGATTAAAAAAGCCTTGGGATTGTTCAGCTTGGAAAAGAGATGACTAAACGAGGGGGCTATGATAGAGGGCTATAAAATCATGATTCGGGTGGAGAAAGTGAATAAGGAAGTGTTATTTGCTCCTTCACATAACACAAGAACCAGGGGTCACCCAATGAAATTAAGAAGCAAATTAAATTAAAACAAAAGGAAGTCCATCTTCACACAACACACAGTGAACCTGTGGAACTTGTTGCCAGGGGATGTTGTGAAGGCCAAAAGTATAACTTTGTTCAGGACAGAAAAAGATAAGTTCATGGCGATCCATCAATGGCTATTAGCTAGGATGGCCAGGGATGCAACCCCATGCTCTGGGTGTCCCTAGCCTCTGACTGCCAGAAGCTGGGACTGGAGGACAGGGGCTGGATTACTCAAGAATTGCTCTGTTCATTCCTTTTGAAGCACCTGGCACTGGCCACTTTTGGAAGACAGGATACAGGACTAGATGGACCAGTATGGCCGTTTTTATGTTCTGGGAGCCCAGACCAGCTCTTCTCAGGGCTCCGCAAGGAAGGGTGCAGCTCAGCTGGGCTTGGGGAGCCCCTGAGAGGGCAGGGCCTGCACTGTGGACTGCATCAGGCAGCCTGCACAGGAGGACATGGCTACGTGGGGAGCTGAAAGCAGAGGCCCGGAGAATCCCCAAGAGCTGCACACCTCTCGCTGCCCCTCGGTTCCACACCCACTGCTTGGCATCCCGCTCTCCTTTGTACCCAGCGCCCAGGCTGCCCCTCCCAGCCTTGTGCCAAAGGGCTATGCCATGCCATGGGGTTCAGCCTCCTTGTTGCCCCCTGCTGAGAAGCCCATATTCTGGGAGTGTCTCCAAGCCAGTTGTGCCTCCCCAGGGCCGGCACAGCTCATTGCTGTGCAATCAGTGCTCCACTCAGCCCGTTCCACATCCCCCAGCCTGGGCTTGGCCTCCTGGCAGCATCTCTCTGGCCTTTGCTGTGGTGGTGCTGGGCACTGGTCTGGCGCTGTCCCTGTGATCTCGTGGCCCACCTGGGGCTGGGGGTTCTTCCCACAGCACATGGGCAGGGCTGGGGCCAGGAACCATGGCTGCTGTTCAGATAGATGTGGGGCTCCTGACTTCCCCTCCCCCCGACTCCCTCCAGCCTGAGCCCTCCCTTGACTTTTGCCCGCCTCTCTGACTCCCCATGCTCCGCTGACCCTTGGGCTCCCCCTCAGCTTGATGCCAAGCCCTTAGGGAAATCAGCTGCCTACCCCAGCTCAGCTCTTCCTGCAGGGCCTGCCCCCACCAGGCCCCCTGCTTGCACTACTGAGCTGGGCTGCAAGGGCCCTGCCTCCATGGAGGGAGAAGGAGGGCGTGGGGCCAGAGAAACAGCTGGGCACCTTTAAACTAGCTGGGCCTGGAGTGCCGTGAGGACGGGACAGAGGGCATATGTGGTTACAGCACCTGGGGACATCAGCAGAAAGGCCATGGTGGCTGCCGCTGGAAAAAAAAATCCTGCCATCTGGGAGTTCTACGCCGAGGTCAAGCGTGAGGCTTAATTTTACTTAGAAATCGCTGTGAGCCCTGGGCGGTGGGGCTCCCACTGCCAGCCCTGCATGTGGTGGGACTCCACTGCCAGCATGGGATGTGGTGGGACTCCACGGCTCCACTGCCAGCCCCAGTGGGCCAGCCTTTATTCCACCTTGGTCCCACGGCCCGCCAGGGACATCGGTTGGCGGCTCCTTCACAGACCTGTGAGCACGGGTGTGTACCTGGTGCGGTTTACCCCCATTCCCGAGGCCTGCCCCTTATATCCATCCGGCACCCTTATTTTGAACCTTTGACCATCACTCCACTCCCTGTTTTCTCATTAGCTGTCCCAAGAGATTAGTTGGTTCCTGGGTCCAGTGGTCCCTCCTGCTAGGCTGGGGGAGGAGCTTTTAGAAGTGGGCGGGCGCACCTCCCAGTTCTTCCAATAAGGCCAGCATGGGATGTGGGAGAGGGACCCCACTTCAGCCCCCCCAGGCCTGGGGAGGGTGAAGAACCCTAAGAGGAGCAGAGGTGTGGCTGGGAGGGCTGAACTATGGCCAGAGGGACTGACGTGAGGAGGGTGAGGGCTGTACTGATGGTGGGTTCTGAGCAGATGGGTTGAGTGCTGGGAAGATGAACTGAGGGTGGTGGGGGTCGATAGGGTAGGGGGGACAAACTGTTGGGGTGGTGATGGGGGCTGGGGAACTGAACTGAGGGGGGTTGGGTGGGGGCAGAACTGATGGGGGGCTGGGGGACAGCATTAATTGCTGGGCAAGAGAGGGGCAGATGTGGGGGTGAGCTCCTGCGGAAGGGGCCAAAATCACCGTACCCAGCACATTGGGAGAATGGGTAACACTACTGTCACATGCACACGCCCTGCGAATGGGCAGGGGGGTTCAAACAGCAAGAGACTGACCTAAAACACACAATAGAATCTTTTTTTAAAAATCTCATGATTTTCATGGGGCCGTGGGGACCTGCTGGGAGCCCAGCATGGTGCCCAAGGGAGAGCTCATGCTGCAGGCTACAGGGGGATAAGCCCCAATCTTACTGCAGCTGATGGAGGCTCACCCTTAGCCCAGGGGCCCTCCCTGCTGTAAGGTGAGAAAGGCCCTGTGGGCCGTGGGACAGCAGCCACATTTCTCACAGTGCCAGCGTGCCATCCACGCATTGTCCCACTTTCTCCCCCTGCAGGGGACGTGCTGGGAAAGTGAGCTGCTGGGGTTGAAGCTGGAGACTCACACAGGTCCTCATGATCCTGGTTCTGCCACGTGCCCATCCCCCACTCGCCCACGCCCTGCTGTTGCCCTCGCTCGAGATTTGTCAGGAGGCTCATGGTATCGGAGGGGTTCCTCAAGCCCCAACTCCAAGAGGCAGGTGCTGCCATAGGCCTCAGCTTTCAATAGCACCATCCAGTGCTACCCTCCTGGCTGCAGGGCTGGGACCCCACACCTGCACCCGGCAGCAGAGACAAAGAACCACCACAGCTGGGTGTCAGGTCTCATGACATTTATGTCAATCTCACGATTTTGGGGCACAAGCGTTTGGTACTGGCGTCGCTGCCTGGGGGAGCTGTGGGCGACGCTCAGTGCGCTGGGCCTGGCTTCTGGGCCATCAGTGCTGCAGGATGGGGTGAAGGCTGGGAGCATGTGGGGGGCATGGAGGATGGCCCTGTTCCCGGCTGGGGATGCTCTGCAAAAGGAGGAGGTACCAGGCCGCGCTCACCATAGGCCTTGCCACCGTTTGGAGAGCAGCTGCTGCCTGAGGCAGGGCCCGGGGACAGGGCTCGAGAGGCCAGCCCAGTGCAGGGTCAGTCCATGCCCCAGGTGCACGCTCTCAGGGGTCCCAGGGATGGGTGCAGGGCAGGGCTCATAACTCGTCTCTGCTTTCAGGGGCATCCGCCGGGCGTGTCCCATTTGTGTCCTTGGGCTCCTCTGGGCTCTCAGGAACCTGGGGAACAGCAGGGTGGTTACCATGGAAACCACTGCCCCAAGCAGGCCTGGCATGCGTCGGGGGCAAGGCCAGGACCCCATAGAGAAGGCAGGAGGGACACGTCTCTCTCCGAAGTGGGGAGGGGCATGAGGGACAGTGAGGGAGAAGGTGTGAGGGATCCTGCTCTCCCTGGTAAGGGACCCAGCCCTCTGCCTCATGGGGAAGGGGTGCAAGGGACCAGGGGGGAGGGACATGAGGGACACATCTCTCTCCATGGTGGGAGAGTCACTGGGGCTGGGTGGAGCTGGCTGCTGCAGGCTCATGGGCTAGCGGAAGGTTGGTGGGACAGGTTGGTCTGAGTGACCTCCTTGCTAAAGCAACAGCCTGAGTCAGCAGGCTTCAAGCGGTGGCAGGCTGGAGCCCTGGGACTCTACTAACCACAGGCTGTGTGTCCTCTGCAGGCAGCATCCCGCCGTTCTCCAGGAACTTGGAGAAGGTCTCCAGGTCTCTGGCACTCTTGTACTCAATCATCTGGTGCAGGCAGAGGAGAAACATGAGACATTGGTGCTGCAGGATTGCCTCTTTGCAGGCTGAACTCCCAGGACCTCACTGCAAGCAGCATAGCCTGCTTCCACCCACCACCCTCCATGCTAGGCCTGGGCCAGCCCAATCTCCTGCTTCTGACATTGCCAGCACCAGCTTCTCCTGAGAGGTGCAAGAACCCCCAGCAGAGAATTTTGGGCTAGCCCACCCCAGGAAAGTCTCCTCCTGACCCCAACGGCGAGTGGCTCCTGCCCAGTAGCAGGAGGGGTTGTAGCTCTGCTAAAGCACTTGGTTATTTTAGTCTGTCTTGTTATAACCCTGGAGGGTCCTGTTACACAGAGAAACATCCAGTCCCTGTTGGAATCCTACAGAGCTCTTGGCTTCAATAGCATCTTGTGGCAGTGAGTGCCACAGGCTGTGTTGTGTGAAAGAATATTTCCTTTTATCACTGTTGGATTTGTTCCCTTCTGGGATCATTGATTGTCTCTTTCTTCTTGTGTTACAAGACAGAGAGCACAGACGCTCCCAATCTACCATCTCTAGAGCAGTCAGTATCTGATAGTCTGTTACTCTGTCCCCTCTTACCCACCCTCTCTCTAAGGGAACAATCCCAGTCGTTTCAATTGCTCCTCGCTTTCCCCAGCCTCTGATCCTTCTCGTCGCCCTTCTCTGAACCCCTTGAGCTCTGCATCCTGTGTGAGCTGGGCGACCAGTGCTGCACGTAGTGTCCAGCTGAGGGCCTAGAATGGCTCCTTGCTGTCACCCAGCACAGCTCCAGGAGTGACCTGGAGCTGCACCCAAGTGCACCCCCATCCCAGTGGGCCCTTCCCATCCCATCCAGGCAACCCCAGCAATACCTTCCTGTCTGGCCCAGCAGGGAAATAGTGCAGCGAAGGGTAGCCACGGATGGTGAGATTCACGATCTCATTGGCTGTTGCATCCAACTTGGCGATGATGATGTTCTCATGATCTTTATACCTCTCACCCAGCTCCTCCCAGACAGGTGCCATCTCCTTGCAATGTGTGCACCAGGGGGCATCTGCCATGACAGAGAGAAGTTGCTTGTCTGCTCTGCAGGGAGTGTTGTGGGGGCAGAGCACTGGGGCTGGGATGGCAGCTCCAGCACCCGGGCCAGGAGATTGGAGGTGCTGGCAAAGTCAGCAGGCCAGGGGCACACAGCACAATCAGGCTGGGCCGGCTGGAGCCTTTGCCCAACACGCATGGCAATGCTGTAGATGCTTGGGAGAGACCCAGGCACTTAAAATTATTCCTCTCGGTGTGTGGAGTCAGGGCTCCCCAGGTTCCCTTGGTGCATGGGGTCAGGGCTCCCCGGATCCCTTCGGTGTGAGGGGTCATGGCTCCCCAGGGATGGAAGGGCTTGGAGGAGACCAACGAAGGAGCTGGACAGCCTGAGTGAGGGAGCTTGGCCAGGGCAGGGTGGGACACATGCTGCAAACACCTACCAGGTGCCACCCCCCGCCATCCTCCTCCCCCCCCCCCCCGGGGGCGAGGGGATTGGTCAGTGTGGCAGGAATTGCTGGGTTCCCTGGAGGTGAAACGGTGCAGACGGGGAATCGCCTCCCTGGGGAAGGGAAAGTCACCTGAGACAGTGAGCTCTACCCCAGACACACGCTAGGAATGTCCCCTCTGCCCTGAGTAGCTGGACTGAGTTGCCCACATCCTCCAGCTCCCATGTCTAGGCAGTCTCTTGCCGGAACAGTTTTGCCTGGTGGCGTATGGAGTTGGTGCTTGTGTCTGCACCAGGCCCTGGCCGAGGATGTCAGGCAGGCCTGGGGCAGGGGAAGGCCCAGCATCACTCTCACAGGGCTGATACTTACAGAACTTCACAAAAACATTCTTGGTCTCGTCGTAAGCCACTTGCTCAAAGTTCTTGCCCACGAGGACTTTAACTGGATGCTTATCCCAGTCCTCGGGGACCTCCTCACTCATGAGATGGGGCTGTGGAGAGAGGGAGGGGCTGTGTGTGCTGTTTGCTAACTCACTTCCAGAGAGTGCTGCGAAGAGATGCTATGGCTGCAAACTTCTGAGCTGTGTGTGTGCCACACAGGCTTGCACAGGCCTCACCGCCCGGTTTCCCGCACCTGGCCCTGCAACGCTAGCGCAGAGCGCAGAGGAGGGTGCTCGGCATTCCTAATACAGTAGACGCCGCTCGCTGCCCTCCAGGCTGAGCATTTCTGGGCAAACTTCACACAAAAGGGAACGTCTGCATGAGTGGTCAAGAAGGTCCCTTTTGAGTGATCCAGCTGCATCGCAAGGGGGTCTAAGAACGAACCCCCTGGAGCCAAAGATTCAGATCTTGGCATGGGCAACTCAGCTCTCGTCCTGCTGCTGGAAGTCAGGGAGTCCCCTGGTGTTTGCTGGCTGGGAAACCAAGATCTGCTCTGCGGGGCTGGGTGAGAGCCCAGCAAGGACTCTCTGTAGGAGATGGGATGGGATCTGCCCCCTGTCCTCACCCCTGCTCAGGTGCCCCTCTCCCCCCAGAGGTGGCTGTATCTCAGTGGGGCACTACACAGCAGCTGGGAAGTGCTCTGCATTAAAGGAGCTAGGGCTGGGATGGCAGCAGGTTCGGGGCACAGAAGGAATGTGGCCAGGGCCCCCGGGTTGCCCTCACTTAATCTGGTGGCGGCACATGGTCTTCAGCTCTCCCCACCCCCGCAAATGGCAATGCTTCCCTCCCTGCTATCAGGAGGGATGGGCCGGGCCTGAGCCCTGGGTATGGCTGCTGTGCGCACCTGGACCTTGCCGTCAAGCACAGCCTGGGCAAAGGAGCCCACAGCCTGGGTGGCAAACTCGTCTGTGTCCATGCGGTACTTCTTGTTAGTCTCGATGTTGATGAAGCGCATGGTGGGGGCCTCGTGGCTCTTGAGGCCGAAGTACTGCAGCACTTGAGCGCCTTCCCCGTTCACGTCGATGAGCACAAAGAGAACCTACAGCGGGGCACAGATGTGGGGCAGCCGCAGCCCAGACCAGCCTGACCGTGCTCTCCCCAGCCCGGGACTGAGAGCCCCCCGCTCCGCAGGCTCCCTCACTGCCCCACAGACCCGTGCTGGGAGCGAGAGCTCCCCCACACACCCTCACTGCCCCACAGAGCCTGTGCTGGGGCTGAGAGCCCCCCACCCACCCCTCGCTGCCCCACAGAGCCTGCGCTGGGGTGGAGAGCCCCCCACCCACCCCTCGCTGCCCCACAGAGACTGTGCTGGGACTGAGAGCCCCCCATGCCCCTCGCTGCCCCACAGAGCCTGCACTGCGACTGAGAGCACCTCCCCCTCCCCATGACCCTCACTGCCCCACAGAGCCTGCGCTGGGACTGTGAACATCTGAGCCTGTCCTTTCCCTGACGCCCCCACTCCCCCCGTCGGCCACCCTGGGCCAGGATTGGAGCCGGGGCCCCACCCCCACAAGGAGCAGGGCCCCTCCCGAACCAGCCAGGCCCAGAAAAGGAACCACTCCCATTCCCAGCGCTGGAGCTGCAAGCGAGCAGTGACGCCAGGGCTGGGATGAGGCTCTCAGTTTAAGGGACTCAACCACATGCCCAGCCAGGCCAGCCCATGGTGCGTGCATGCCAGCCACGCTTTGGTGTCCCACAGCCCTGGCGAGAGCCCTGCCAGCTGGGAGCAGCCTGCCTGGCCCTGCCAGGCCAGGTGAGTGGGGCATGCTGCAGCTCACAAGGTCAGCGACCCGCTGCCAGGGACGTGACTAGCTGGTTACCTGGCCCCTGAACGGGGGTGCAGCAGCCCGGAAGCTGCCCAGGATCTCCAGGTGGGGCTCCAGGGTCTTGTTAATAAACAGCAGCAGGTGGTTGAGGATTTTTGCCCCGAATATCTTTGGTGAGTTCTAAGGAGAGAAAGAGGGTTTGCTGCCCAGTGACATTGTTGGGAAGCCTCCCCTCCCCCTGCCTGCCCGCACACACGCTCCTGCAGCAACTACCACACGGAGCCGGGGCACAGGCTGCAGCCCCAGGGGCTTGGGAAGGGCTGGCGGGAAAGGCCTAGTGTGTCTGGACACTCTCCATGCGCATTTGTCTGCCCACGCCAGTGCCCCGCAATCCACACACACACACACACCCCGGCTGTGCAGTGAGCAGTGTGCCCTAGGCCAGCCCTGCCCCGTGCCCTGGCTGCCATCCACACAGAAACCCCCAGATGTGAGCCCCTCATTTCCCACCACACACACACACACAGCTGTGATCCTGCCCCCGCTCCACACCCGGCTGTGCAGTGAGCAGTGTGCCCTAGGCCAGCCCTGCCCAGTGCCCCGGCTGTAATCCCTCCGCCAGCCCTGCCCAGTGCCCCGGCTGTAATCCCTCCGCCAGCCCTGCCCAGTGCCCCGGCTGTAATCCTCAACACACACACACCCCTACTGTTCCGAGAGCAATGTGCCCTAGGCCAGTCCTGCTCACCCACAACAGCTTATGCCCAAATAAATTTGTTAGTCTCTAAGGTGCCACAAGGACTCCTTGTTTTTTTTTGCTGATACAGACTAACACGGCTACCACTGAAACCTGTCACACGAGCGGACGCTGTGCCGTGAGCCATGTGCCCTCCGTCAGCCCTGCCCAGTGCCTTGGCTGTAATCCCTCCGCCAGCCCTGCCCTGCAGCGCACTGTCTGTGTAAAGCTCTCTGGGGTACAGCCTCTCTGGGGCTGTTCTCATGGGGGTGGTCTCACCTGACTGGTGAACTCCATCACCAGCTCCAGGCTGTGCAGGCCAATGAAGCGGGAGAGCTCCTCCTTGTTCAGGCCCAGCTCCGCGTCCAGCGGGAAATCCGCCCGCTTCTCATCAAACTGCAACACACCAAGGCGAGGCAGCGCCACACACTGAGAGCTTGGAGCCGAAGGTGGGAGCGGCTGGGCAGGGCCCCAGGCTGCCTCCTGCACTAGCAGGGCACCCCATGGGGCCATGTCCTGCTGGGGGAACAGCCTTGGGAAAATGCCCTGCCCTGGCCATTGCATTAGCCCCTCCTGCCCAACTTCCCAGGCCTTTCCCATCCTAACGTACCCACCTTGTCACCTGCTGGGGCTAGTGCTCATGCCCATCGCTGGGTGGCCCATAACAACGGCCATACTGGGTCAGACCAAAGGTCCATCTAGCCCAGTATCCTGTCTGCCAACAATGGCCAATGCCATGTGCCCCAAAAGAAATGAACAGAACAGGTAATCAAGTGATCCACCCGTCACCCATTCCCAGCTCCTGGCAAACAGAGGCTAGGGACACCATCCCTGCCCATCCTGGCTAATAGTCATTGATGGACCTAGCCTCCATGAATCCCCATGTCCCTGTTGGGCTGTATCTGGGGTAGAGCCAGTGCCAGGTGCCTTGCCTCGCCCCCTCTCACCTTCTTGAAGAGGCAGACGGTGTCGGGGGTGACGCTGTATTTCTGGAAGAGCTCCGTCCTGTTGGAGACCCCGAAGGTCACGTCCACAGCATCACTGGCAACTTCATAAAAGCCCTGCGCAGCTTTGCCCTGCAGGTCCTGTAAACACCCCACGAGGCCCTGAGCATGGTGAAGAGCACTCTCCGTCTAACATGGTGCTGCAGCCTGTGGAGCCTACAGGCATCAGCAGGCAACATGGCACCCGCAGCCACGATGCCATGGTGCTTAGGGGGCTGGCACCATGGGGACTGTGCCCTGGCCCCTCGCCCATGAGCTGCTCCCCAGCAGGCAGGGGGTGGGGCTGGGCTGGGCACACCGGGCTGGCATGTGGCACTACTGGGGTACCAGGGAAGGGGAGGTGTTGACGCCTTTGAGAGGTGGGTACTGGGGCGGGAGGGGGGGGTCGTCACTGGAGGGCCCTCCCACAGCATGCACACAGGGCTGGCATTTGATCGTGGCACCTCCTGGCCAAGCTCAGGGCCTCCAGGGGGCATTCTGGTGTGGGCACCGTCCCTGCCAGCCAGTGGGGAAAGTCCCCACCTAGACACTCTGGGCAGCCACCGCCCCACCCAGCCCAGGAGCATGCTGAACCGAGTCTGTCCCGGCACCACACCCAGCAGCTCTGCCAGGCCCCACATCCTCCGCTCCTGCCCACCAGGCCCCGCACCTTGAAGAACCCGACGACGACGACATCCTGGGAGGCGACGAACTCCTGGGCGCTGGCCTCATCCTGCAGCAGCTCCGTGCTGGGGCCGGCCTTCCGCCGCATCCACCGCACAATGCCCTCGGCGTCCCGCTGCCCTGCGCGCAGCACCGCAGCACGTCACCTGCCCGAGGCGCTCCCGCACCCCGGCCCCCACAGCCCTTCCCACACTGCAACCCACAGCGCTCCCTACACTGCAAACACCCCC